ATGGAACTGTCCTCATTTCCAAATATCAAACACATAACTTCAACTCATGTCATTGAGTTTAGCGTGGATTCTGATCATTATCTTCCTACTTTTTTTCTGCTGAAAGCTCTATCCTATTGATCATTGGAATAGGATTGACCATGATAACTGATGGAATTACTTGTGGATCTATGTGATTTCTTGGTTACCAGTCATTAATATGCTTTACCAAGCTGGACAGGGAAGGAAAGGAAAGGAAGATGGGCCAGTTATCCAGCCCTCTCAACCCTGAGGGGTTCTGAGTACAGGGCTCATTGTTCTTGTGCTAAAGATTGTATTTTAGGGGAAGAAACTACATATCTCCTAGAGCAAAGTGTGAACAGTTAAATCATTCAAAATCAACATTGTTCTTTATAGCGAGAAAAGGAAAATGGATATATGATTAATGATTAATCACAGGAGCTAGATTTCTATCCGAAATCAGATCTACAAATTACATACTCTCTCTTGTTAAAAGGCAGCTATGTTTCCAATAGTTCTTTTTGTGTTTCTTCCACACCCACAGACTTTTCTTTAAGTCACTACTACACATCACAACCATCATTCAAGAAAATGACAGTTATGTTTTACAGTCTCTAAAGGTTTTAGTTACTTTAAGTAATAGAGCCACAAGCTTTACAATAAAAGGCATATTATTTATCTAATCTCAAAATCTGATCTGTCGCTCTCCATCTTGCCAAACAAAAAAGTGTCTTCCTCATCTACAAAATTCACAGGCAGACAAAAAATAAAGCAATTGCTTCACCTCTATTTGGTCTCAGAAGAGTACACACATGATAGCCCACTTCACAATTCTCCTCAATTCACATCTGATATGAAGCTGCTACAGACTGACCATAACTATTGAATAATACCTTATACAATATGCCTTCATGTAAATCTATTGTTAAATTGCCTGGAGGATTGAAATGCAGCAATTGTGTTACTTAGATATTAAAATCAATGTTTTACACTTTCCCAGCATCATGCAGTTTTAGAATATTCAGCCATGTAACTTTAGAAGATTAAATTAACAGATTATTTTTAAAATAAAATTAATTTTCACGTATCAAAATGCATTTCTCAACAAACAGGTTATTTTGATCGTCATAATCTAGTTAGTCTTTCAAATTGCTCCATTTCTGAATGGAAAACTTGAGGTGATGGCATTGTAATGTTCAACTTTTGAATTTAAAGTGGTGGGCGATTTTGCCATGTATTATTTAAGGCTCAAATAAAGGCAATGGAGAAGTGGTGGGAAAATTGCTCTCTCTCTGTAAAAGGCTTACGTGTAATAGGTTTTGGTTGTCTCAACCCAGCAACAAAGGCACGTATTGCCATAGTATCAACCTGATCTTAATGACTGGCATCCTCACTCGGGAAAATGTCCGCAGGGTGTGATTGCAAGTGAGGCAGGTCATGGGATCCTGAATTCAGGGACAGAGAAGCCTCAGCTCTTGACCTTGTCCAACAGGTACGAGGTACTTGCTCCCTGTGTGGGAGAGCAAAGTGTGCAGAGGACTCTGAAAGTTTGCAGAGGGATATAGATAGTTTAAGTGAGTGGGCAAAGGTCTGGCAGATGGAGTACAATGCTGATAAATCTGAAGTCACCCATTTTGGTAGGAATGACAGAAAAAAGGACGATTATTGAGCGGTAAAAATTTGCAGCATGCTGCTGTGCAGAGGGACACCGGTGTTCTTGTGCATGAATTGCAGAAGGTTGGTTTGCAGGTGCAACAGGTAATTAAGAAGGCAAATGGAATTTTGTCCTTCATTGCTAGATGGATTGAGTTCAAAAGCAGGGAGGTTATACTGCAGCTGTATAAGGTCTGGTGAGGCCACACCTGGAGTACTGTGTGCAGTTTTCATCTCCTTGCTTAAGAAAGGATGTACTGGCACTGGAGGGGATGCAGGGGAGATTCACCAGGTTGATCCTGGAGTCAAGAGGGTTGGCTTATGAGGAGAGACTGAGTAGACTTGGATTATATTCATTAGAATTTAGAAGAATGAAGGGGGGATCTATAGAAACATATAAAATTATGAAGGGAATAGATAAAATAGAAGCAGTGAGGATGTTTCGACTGGTGGGTGAAACTAGAATGAGATGGCACAGCCTCAAAATTAGGGACAGCAGATTTAGGATAGAATTAAGGAGAAACTTCTTCACCCAAAGGGTTGTGAATCTGTGGAATTCCCTACCCAGTGAAGTAGTTGAGGCTTCCTTTTTGAATGTTTTTAAAGCTCAGATAGATAATTTTTTGAACAGTAAAGGGATTAAGGGTCATGGTGAGGGTGGGTAAGTGGAGCTGAGGCCATGAAAATATCAGCCATGATCTTATTGAATGGCAGAGGGGGCTTCAAGGACCAGATGGCCTACTCCTGCTCCTACTTCTCATGTTCTTATGTTCAAAGGGTTTTCTATCGCTCTGTGACTGACTGCAACGTGATCATGTCCATGAGAAACTGAAGGAATTATGAGAATTGTAATCTATTGAAACTAAAGGAGGCAGAAGACTTGGGTATTCCAAATCTCCAGGACTGCTTGATATGAGACTATGATAGCAGTCTTCAGAAAGCTTCGTCCCTTTTTGACTATCGCTCCTCCTCCTTCTATTTGGAATGTTGTAGCATAAGTAGACCATTCAAGTCCTTGAGAGATAGTAGGAACTGCCGATGCTGGACTCTGAGATAACAAGGTGTGTAGCTGGATGAACACAGCAGGGCAGGCAGCATCAGAGGAGCAGGAAAGCTGACGTTTCGGGTCTGGACCCTTCTTCAGAAAGGGGGGAGGGGAAGGGGGCTCTGAAATAGAGAGGGGGGGGCGGTAATAGAAGGTGGATAGTGGAGCAGATAGGTAGAGAGAAGACGGACAGGTCAAGAAGACGGGGATGAAGCTGGTAAAGGTGAGTGTAGGTGGGGAGTTAGGATGGGGATTGGTCAGTGAGGAGGCAGGGGCGGGTAGGTGGGAGGGAAGACAGACAGGTCAAGGAGGCGGGGATGAAGCTAGTAGGGGTGAGTGTAGGTAGGAAGTGGGGATGGGGGTTGGTCAGTGAGGAGGGAGGTGCGGATAGGTGGGAGAAAAGACGGGCAGGTCAAGGAGGCGGGGACGAGAGGGGGGCTGGTCTTGGGATGAGGTCAGGGATGGGGAGGTTTTGAAGCTCGTAAAGTCCACACTGAGACCATTGGGTTGTAAGGTTCCAAGGCGGAATATGAGATGTTGTTCCTCCAGTTTTCAGGTGGTGTCATTGTGACACTGGAGGAGGCCCAGGATGGACTTGTCGTCCAGGGAGTGGGAAGGGGAGCTGAAGTGGTTCGCGACTGGGAGGTGTTGTTGTTTGTCACGAACCGAGCGTAGATGCTCCACAAAGCGGTCTCTGAGCCTCCGCTTGGTCCCCCGATGTAGAGGAGGCCACATCGGGAACAGCGGACACAATAGGCCACATTACCGGATGTGCAGGTGAACTTCTGTTTAATGTGAAAGGTTTTCTTGGGGCCTGGGATGGAGGTGAGGGGGGAGGTGTAGGGGCAGGCGTAGCACTTCCTGCGGTTGCAGGGAAAGGTGCCAGGGGTGGTGGGACTAGTGGGGAGTGTGGAGCAGACGAGGGAGTCGCGGAGAGAGCAGTCCCTCCGGAAGCCAGATAAGGGTGGGGAGGGAAATATATCCTTCGTAGTGGGGTCAGATTGCAGGTGGCGGAAGTGGCGGAGAATGATACATCGAATCCGGAGGTTGGTGGGGTGATACATGAGGACGAGGGACATTCTGTCTTTGTTGTTATTGCGGGGAGAGGGTGTGAGGAATGAGATGCGGGAAACGCGAGAGATGCGGTCGAGGGCATTTTCAACCACTGTGGGGGGGAAATTATGGTCCCTGAAAAACGACAACATCTGGGATGTCCAGGAGTGGAACGCCTCAACTTGGGAGCAGATGTGGTGGAGGCAGAGGAATTGGGAATGGGGATCGCATTCTTCTAGGAAGGTGGGTGAGAGGAGGTGTAGTCTTTGTGCCTTGAGCCTCCTCCACTATCCTAGATCAATACTGATCATCTATTTCAATGCCATAGTTCTGCAACATACATTGATGTCATTGGTAATTAGAAATCTATCAAGCTCTGCCTTGAACTTACTTCATGACTGATATTCCACAGCCCTGCAAGACATAGAATTCCAAAGATTTGCCACTCTCTGACTGAAGAACTTCCTCCTGATCTCAGTTCTACATGGTGTGGCTTTTATTCTGAGATTGTGACCGCTGGTTCTTGACCCAACAGTCAAGGCAGACATCCTTTCTACAACTATTTTTGCTTATCCCTTTAAGAATTGAATTAAGTGTCGATCAGATCACCTCTCATTCTTAAAAATTCCAAGCAACGCAGGCCCAGCCTCCTTGATTTCTCTTCATGGACAGTGCCACCATCATAGGAATCAATCTGATGAACCTCAGCTGCACTGTCTCTATGGCAAGTGTATCGTTCCTTAAACAAGGGGACCAGAACTATCCACTACACTTCAGATGCAGTCTTGCTAATGCTGTCTTCCATTGCATTTCCCTGCTGTAGAAAAAGTGAGTCCCCTCTGTGCAGAAGAGTTAGTGCCTTCAGTCAAGACTGCATGGAAAGAATTACATAAAATATATAAGACAGAAGTAGGGCATTTGGCAGAACAAATCTATGGTGGTGTTGATACTTCACATGAGTCTCCTCCCATTCTAACTAACACATCACAAGCTTTAAAACATACTTTTACACTAAAAAAGGCAGAGGCAAAGGAATCGAAGCAATGGGAAAGCCGTTCCAATGAATTTATATCATGGTACTGTGAGCCAATGATAACTTGCAATTATTCAGCAGCCTTATCAGAGAAACAGTCCCAAGGAATGCAAACAAAAATATGTAATAATTGATATAACATAATCATCCACTCCATGATATATTCACATAGAACATCAGAATCACTGCAGGGCAAAATGAACTCAAGAATTTTACCTGTTGATAAGCTCTGTAAATGATATCAAATGTGAAGGCTTGAGGCATTTCACTTGCCCTATATTTGGCACGTTCCAATGAACGATCAAGATAGCTTTCTGGGTTGGTTGCAACGACAGTGGAAACAAGTGGTCTGATAGCTCCTGCAGCCTAAAAACAAAGAGACGCAGCATTACAGTGCATTTTCCTAATGGTTGGAAGGAATGGAGACTCAGGTAATGAGCTTTGGAGTCACTCAAAAACTCAATTCTATTGTCTGAAATAAAACATCCATCACAAAAAATTTGATGTATAACACACATTAGTTATGGAAGTTATGAATTCAAATTAAACAGCAGGCACTGATTTTATACGTATACATTTTTTAACATGCTTGAATTGTTGAACAAAAGTACGGTTTTGTTCAGTACAATGCTTTCTCCTCAAAATCTATCACTGCTGTTATTATAACTGACAAGAAAGCGTTAAAGATTGAAGAGAATAATTGAAACAAAAATGCAGTTTACATTAGATAACAATTGGTTGATCATGCTCACTCCTGCTCTACTTCAAATACCGTGGTCATGAGACTTTTTTTAACCACCTGTGAGAACAGAAGGGGTCTTTGGTTTAACACATCATCTGAATGACAGTACCTGACAGTGACTCCCTCAATATTGTACCAAAGTGTCATTCTGGATGAGGAGCTCAAAGTGTGCTTAAATCTTTGAGCTTTTCTGCAGAAGTGGCATAGCGGCATTTAACCACAGTTGACATTTCCAATACCTTTAATAACTTGTATCAATTATCACATTAATGCTGGAAGGATGTTTTCAATGACGGGGAAGATCAGAACCAGAAGTCACAGTCTAAGGATACAGTGTAGGCCATTTAGGACTAAGGAGAAATTTCTTCACCCAGAAAGTGAGCCCATCTAAGTCTCTACCACAGAAAGTGCTTGAGACCAAGACTTTGAGTGTTTTCAAGAAGGATGTAGATATATTTCTTACATGTAAAGGGTTCAAAGGGTATGGGGAGTAGGCAGGAACAGAGTACTGAGTTGGATGATCATCCATGATCGTATTGAGTGGTGGAACTGACTCAAAGGGCTCAACGGCCTACTCCTGCTCCTATTTTCTATGTTTCTGCCATGTACTGGAGCAAAATGTAAAGTGACCAACAAAGATTAAGTTGGATCAGTAGTTTCGGTGATCTGTAAACATGAAGTAGAAACTAACAAATGAAAGCCAGCATGGATTTGTTAAAGTCAAATCATATTTGACTAGACCGATTGAGTTATTTGATGAGGTAACAAGGAGATTTGCTGAGTGTTAGGGTGGGTGATTTTGTTTTGTACATAGCAACTAGTTATTAAAATGGAAGCCCAAGGCATTAAAGGGGCAACGACTGGGTGGATACAAAAGTGGATCTGGAACAGAAAGCAGAGAACAGTGATGAGTGAGACAACAAGGTGCAGGGCTGGATGAACACAGCAGGCCAAGCAGCATCACAGGAGCAGAGAGGCTGACGTTTCGGGCCTAGACCCTTCATCAGAAAA